ATATAGACATATAAATGGTGTCTGTAATAACTTGTTTTAATGACCGATTTATTCAAACACATTAATAATGAAGACAGTAATATAATTAAAAATAAAATGAAAATGTAACGGTGTAGTTATTTTTTCTAACTATCAAGCTATGGGCTTTTTTAATGTACAATTTTCAGTCTTCAGTTTTTGGTGGCTGAAATTTTGGTGCATCGCTAGTGTTGCATCATTTATTATTATATAATTTCCTCTAAGTCTTACATATTATCAAGCTGTGGCTTAACACAAAAGAAAAAAAAATCAAGTTTAGCAATGCAATTGTCTTATTGACCTCTATATTTGATGTTCAGCGATTACAGAGCAAGTTCTCGGTGTTAAATGCATCATCTCTACTTACTGATCTGCTTTCTGACTTCACGTTGATCAAAGTTGTTCAGCTCAAATGGCCTTGACTCAAAGCACTGATGCTTTTAAAGGGCATAGTACACTTTGATTGCACTGCAGCAATAGGTCAAAGTTGAAAGGATAGATCCTCTCAACTTTATCACCATGGTCTTTAAAGAAGGATAAATGTCTTAAAAACAACCTGTCCGTACATCAGACACATGCAGGATCCTCCCGGACCAAGAGCTCTCTCTAACATTATCAATTTCATTTTTATCTGTATTATATTTGATCTATTCCAATATCTTACCTCATTTGCCATTTTATTATTTCTGTTTTAGTGGAAGAAGTATTGGTTTGTGCTGACAGATCACAGTCTACGATACTACAAAGATTCTATTGCTGAAGAGGTAATTCACAATGCTGCAGTAGCAGTTTGTTTTTCAGATTTTTTCCCTCTAGATTTGCGTTTAGCCTTATTGCTGTAATGATAACATTTCTCTCACTGAATCTGTGTTTTTTTTATGTCAACAGGCGTCTGATCTGGATGGAGAGATTGATCTCAGTACATGCTATAATGTTACAGAATATCAAGCTCAACGGAACTATGGCTTCCAGATTCATGTAAGTGTGTCTAAAGCTTATTTTTATTTCATATTTTATGTAATGTTATTTTACAATTTTTTTTACAGACTTTTTATTTTTGTTGTATTTTATGGAATTTAAAAAAAAAATTGTTTTATGGACTTTTTAATTTTAGATAAATAATCTATATAATATATAATTATAATTAAAAATATATAATTATAAATATACATATTTTTTATAGACTTTATTTATGTTGTACTTTATGGACTTTTTATTTTATATTTCATTTAGTTTCATAGACATTTTTATTTTATGGGCCTTTTAAATTTTATTTTGTAACTTTTTTTTCTTTTCTTTTTTTTTTATCCTACAGACATTTTATCTTTGGTTTTATTATATTTTTTGACTTTTTTTGTTTTATGGAGTGTTTATTTCATGGACCTTTTCATTTTATAATTTGTTTTCATGGCC